GAGTTCAAGGCCAGCCTGGTCTACATAGTGAGTTCCAGGACAGCTGGGCTAAAGGGAGACCCTGTCTCAAAAAGACCAAAATAATAAATAATAATAATAATAAAATACTTTTTAAAAAGAAAGAATCAGAGGAAAAAAAGAAGCAGGCTGGGGTACTTACTGTGCCTGGGCGGGGATAGGGCATCTTTCCTGAGAAGGGCATCCACTGGTAGTTGGGACCCTCTTTGTGAGCAAAGGGCCCATTGAAGACCATGCGAATGTCAGCCATGGAGTAGACACACACAGCAGAACCTCGAAACACGGAGCTGTGTGCAAGGCAGGCTGCTGCTATTAACAGGGAAGACCCTGGGCCCAGGGCCCTCCCCAGATCACCTCCACCCCATAGACTGCAACCAGGCCAGGGTCCCCGACAAGTCACAACCCCCCAATGTAGCCATATCCTGCCATTGCTGGCACTGACTCCAGTCTCACCCTGAGGAGGTAAAGACAGCATAAATGACTGGGTTCCTCACATCCTGGGTTTGCTGGACAAACACATCCTCTGGAAAAAGGGAGAATGTATTGGGGATGGTACCTTAGGGAGAAGTTCCGAGTCCCAAGGCTCTGCCCACTCCTGCCCAGGAAAAAGGGTCCCTTGGAGGCACCCTGACCACCTATCCAGCTTCTGTTCTCTCCCACTGTAGCCATAGGACTCTGATTGCTTGCTAAGCACTCACGAAGTTCATCGAAGTGAGTCTCAATACCATCCTCGCCCGGCACAGAGCAGACTAGTCGAGCCTTCAAGAATGTGCTCCACTTGTTGACCAGGCAGCAATGACCACCATCATCATTCTGGAGGTGGAGACAGGAGGCTGGGTTAGGTCAGTTCACTCTACCCAAGACCTACTGGAGTAGGACTGACAGCCAGGTCCAGGAGAGGTAAAACCGGGTCTCATAGATACTTACAAGGCAGATGCGCCCGATGCGGGCATATACAGCCGGATTCTGCGGAGCCTCTGCAGAGCGCTCACGGAAGAAGAAGTAGAGCTTGTCATCATTGCGCTCTGTGCTGTCAGGGATGAGCTCAGCATGGATGAATGAAGGGTCTAAGGGTGGACAGGTAGGTGGGCAAGGGTCAGTGGCAGGAGCCCCTCCTCTGGCTGTACCTCTTTTCCCCAAGAGAATCCCTGACCAGGTACAAGAACGCCCTGACTTCATTCTAGACAGGAAACCAGCCTGCCCCAAGCTTGTCACAGGCCCCAAGCTCTCCATGCTCTGCAGGATCTGCTCACCACATCCCGGCCTTTCTGCCCACCAAAGTCTTGCAGGTAGAGCTCACCATTGAGCCACCGGGAGTTGTACTGATCTGTGCGCATGGCTGTCTGCTTTCCAAGTGTACGGAAGATGGCTGCATCAGTGCCCATAAAATCGATGTACACTCCTGCATAGAGCTCTTCATCTGTGGGAGGGTCAATGAGCCAGTCAGGGGGGCTACTTAGCCCCAGGGACCTCTAGGCAGAGTCCTAGCTCCCCTTAGGATGCCCAGGGTATGATCATATCTCTTAGTGTTTATAACTTGCTCTGGGAGGAGGACTGGGAGAATGAGCTCTGATTAGTAGCAACAGTCAATTTCTGTGATACAAATCCTCTACCTCAGCTTATCTAGGCCACTAACCTGGTCACTGCATACAGAGCTGGGAAGAGGTGCCAAGACCATCATATAGGATTTCTACCCACCAATCACAATAGGCCTAAAGAACCTCCAAAACAGATTATGATACAATGTAGTAGTAAAGCAATTAGGAAGTAGAGTTTTGAACATTTGTTACATTTTGCTGCTGTTACCTCTGTTCAAGTACTATTTATTTGATTGTTTTTATAATTTAATTTTCAGTAATAGCTGTGTTTAACAACTGAACCACAAAATTCCTAAAAATTTAACTGCTGAGCTGGCTGTACCGTACCACTTCATGTCTCCCCTCTGAGATGCTCCAGTGTAAGCCCTACCTTTCCCCCATTACACCCCTGATCTGGACTGTTATCAGGCTGGGACCTTCTCATTCTACAAGAGGACCTTCCTCTCACCGGAACCCCAGGGTCCATTCCCAGGCTTGCAGGTGGCATACGGCTTGGCAGCTGTACTGTGAGGCACCCTGGGTTGGACAGCTAAAATGCAGGCAGAATGCCAGGCCAGGGGAAGGCTCCCCCATCTGTAGGCAGGCACAGCAGCTGCTAGAGCCCCTAATAGGACTTTTTCTTAAGAGCCCCTAACTCTCCCAGGCACCTGCCAAGTCTAGAAACATGTTCTTCCCAGCTGGTCACGGGGCCAGGGGGCTCTCTGTATGGTGCTTCTGTGTGAATGTCTCCCAGTCTCTCTGACATGTGAAGAAAGACCTATGAGACCCCTCACACCACTCAATACAAACTCACTTGTCTTCTCTTCTAGGTAGCCTATTGACCCTAAGGGTTCTAGGCTTTGCAAAGACCATACTAGGTATCTCAGGGAAGGACCTGGCCTCTCAGTGCCTCATCCAAAAGGGCTGAGTCAGGGTTTATACCATCTTCACTGCCCCTCAGCTCATACCAGGGTCTGGCCTGCACTCCTCACACCTGCTAGGTAGTACCCACTGAGGGCTACAATGACTCTGAGTTGGGGTATTGGTACCCCCCTCACTCTAGTGGCAAAGGCGATACATTCAAACTATAGAACCAAGGCGGCACTCACTGATGAGGGCTGATGCTGTGTCCAGCTTGGGGTCGTATGGACACTTGCCCTTCCCTGACTCGAGTCTCTCAGGCTCCAGGTAGAAGATGTAATCCTGCAGGGCAGAGGGAGGGGCTCAGCATGTCCAGGCCAGTCCCACAGTCAAGAAAGGTAAGGGTTATGAGATTCTTGGGGCAAGAATGAGCCCCAAGGGATACTCTAAACCCATCTCCCTATACTCCCCACCAGTGTCCCTGGGTTTGAATTCTATCCAGTCAGGTCTCCTGGAATAGGCCTGTACTATGTTTCTAAGGGAGCTGCTTCCTAGTGTCAGGCCTCAGGCAAGACCTAGGACTCAAGTCTTAGAGGTCTGGGTCTTCAGAGTCAAGGGATAAGCTTATAGGGACTAAAGACTCTTTATAAACTAGCTTAGAAAGATGCTGTTGAGGCTCCCTTGGATCACAGAGACCTGATGCTTTGAGCTACAGCTGCCTATCTTGAGCCAAGGAGTGACTGCAGACCTAGGAATGGCAGGGGATCAAGGGCCCAGGGTCCTGTTCACTATCATCAGGTTCAACCAGGTCAGAGCTCTTAGGTTAGAGTGTCCCCAGGTTTTGTGCCTACCTGTGGTCCTCAGGATAGACCAATAGGCCATGGCCTTTCTACCCATCCATGTCTCCCCAAATTGGGGGATCCAGCCTAGACCACATGGAATTCACAAAGCCACCACCCCTGATCCCCATGCATCCCAGCTCAGCTTGGAAGATGCTAGGAGGAAGGTCGGTGAGGACACTGGGATCAGGATAAGCTTACAGGCCTGGTGGGAAATGCAGGGAAAATGGACGGAAAGGGAAGAGAGGCACAGAGGAAGTGGCAGCAGGTGGCAGATGGTGATGGGAAGGTGCACACAGGCCTGCTCTCAGTTACATTCAGCACACATAACTTCCTGTACATACAGGGGCTGCAACACAGCTCGACAGACAACACAGCCAGTATACATATCCCACTGCTCACCCTAAATGCACACATACAAACTCTAGGTAAGCCCTACTTTTCAGCACTCCCCAACATACACACACGCATGCATGCATGCACACACACATAATCTCTCACATACAAACATGCTCTGTCATTCACCGGCAGCCCCTGCCCCCCTGCCCGCCCCTGCCCAGCCCCAGTTTGCCTTACCCAGTCCAGCCCCGATCCTGACTAATGAACAGACACTACCTCAAAAGAGAGGCCCCATATGTGAGTGTGCAGGACACTAGTATCCACCACATGACTCACAGGAGGCATAAGAACAGACACCTAGGAGTCATGTGACGGACCCACTCTGGGTGCTAGGGTGTACCCAAGTGTATATGCTGGCACATATCTCCACATGTCTCCACACATGTGTTCTCAGGGCTGAGGCACAGCTGTCCCCAGGACTCCTGTCTTCCCCACCTGGTGGCTTCAGAATTTCTTGCCTGCAGGGGTCCCACTGAAGCTGACAAGAGTCCAACTGGAACTGCCTTCAGAACCTGAGGGCACTGCAGGGGAAGGGGTGGGAATGGCGTGGGGGCATGAGGGAGAAGGGAGCCCCTGGGGAGGCTGGCCTTGGGGGCAAGCCCAGGGTAAATAGAGCTCAGAGGTCTTTTGACTTGGCAAAAAACTAAAAGGATGAGGCCCACCTGGAGTGGGATTGTGGGTGTCGGACGGTTGGTACCATCGGTGGCTCTGCTGCCGCGGCCTTTGACCATCTGTGTCTGGGTCCACGGTGGAGCCTGAGAAGATGAAGAATAAAGATTAGAACTGAGGGTAGCAGGGCCTGGGGGAGGGGGCTCGGGCTGCCAGCCTCTCATACCACACAGGCCAGGACCACACATGAGAACATATATGCATGTGTACACACATATACACACAGGCATGGCACACACCTGCATACACATGTGACCCTTATGTCCAGTCGCTCTCACACATGCCTTATGAGGTCACATCAGCTCACACACGTGCCCACATGGAAATGGAAAAGGGCAGAAGCAGGCAGGGTGGAGCAGAGCTGGGAAAAGGGCAGCACCCACCAACCCCTGGAACAAAGGGGAGGCAAGGAAGCTCTCCCTCAGGCCACATAGTGGAAGCCAACCCAGGCATCCAGCCTCCTGGTACCAAAGACCCCACCAGATTCTCTGAGTTGGCCATTCGGGTATGGTCCACAGACATAGCCAAGAGAACTGTTGCCCTGTGTGGGGCGAGTGCTTACTATGTGCCAGGCACAGTGCTAAGAGCTTGGGAGCACTAGCTCACTGCCTCTTCCTCACACTGACCTGTGAGAAAGGGAACTGTGAGCCCCATTTTCAGGTGAAGAAACTAAGGCTCAGAGAGTTGAACAAGCTTACTTACCTACTGTTACAGGACTTGGAATTGGCAGGGATTGGGCTCAGGCCCATCCTCCCATCAGGACTCTGGCATGTAGCCACCAGGGGGGACAGCATGGGTCCAGAGTTGGCAGGGGCTTACCTGTGCACGGCGTCCACGGTTCACATAGGTACACATGGGGTTGTAAGCGCCAGTCCCACACACATACAGGTGTGTTCGGTTCCAGGGCTGGATGAGCCTGACAAAGTTCCCACACTCGCCCTGTGGCAAGAGAGAAAGTTGTGTAGATGCCCAAACATCTGTCTCATTTGTGTTCTCTCTCTAGAGTCAATGCCCCCCCCCACACACACACCTGGAGACCTCGCTATACTCACATTGCCATCCTTGCCTGACAGGATGCACTCCTCAATGCGCTGTGGGGAAGCTGCCCAGTGGATCTGCCAAAGATGGGGGTTAGAGGGTCTGATGGCCAGGTCCCTGACCCTGGGCTTCATGCCCCTTCACCCTGCCATGCTCTACTTCTGGGCCAGCCCTTACAATGAGGGGTTCACGGTTGATGTCATGCAGGTCCAGGGACAGCACGTAGTCCTTGCTGCCCACGTACATGCGATCGTGGTCCTCATCCTTGAGCAGGATTCGGTAGTCGGTAGTGTTGAGCAGGAAGTTGAAGAAGTGGGCAGTGCCTGTGGCCTTAAGTTCTGTGGGTGAAGGGCAGGGTACAAGTTAAGACCTTCAAGAGACTATCCAGCCATACTCCAACAGAAAGAACACTGGGGCAACAGTTGTTCTGAACTCCCACTTCCCTCTCCCAGGGCCTACTTAGTTCTCTTTCCAGTTGCTGACAGGCTGGGAGGAGAAAGTGGGACATGTAGGCAGGCCAGAGAAGGGGCCACACCCAAAACTAAACCCCTGATTCACAGGAAGCCCTAGCTAATACCAATGAAAGGGCCATGGATGCAGACCAGGGTGTGTGAAGGCATCAAAGAGTCTGCTCAGGTGGGGGCTAATGACCCCATACTCAGGGTGGGGCCAGCTTCCCATAGGGACCTGAAAGGGTTAATGAGAGGATGGGAGTAAGAGGGAAGGACAGTCTACAGATGTTGGCACAAAGCCTAGATACCCTGTTCTCATCTCAGTTGACCACCAGGCAGAGGACACAGCTGGTACGCCACAAAGTCCCCACTTGGCCTGAAATGAGCTAGCCAGATCCCATTAAGCTCTGAAGTCACCATGAGACCCACAAGGGTGCTAATGGTGGAACTCTCAACCTACTCTGAACTAGCCAGGAGGAGTCATCTTGAAGGAGGCTCTCCCTATGGTGCTATAGGGGCCCCAGGTCTGAGGGCTGAGGGCAGAATGCAACTGGGTCTTTTGTTTGCTCTTCTGCTTGGATCTGGAAGCCTTGATTCTCTTATCCTCAGGATGCTAAAGAAAAGGCCCTCACTGGGACGAACAACAGATGGCAGCTCAGCCAGTGACAGGTCAATGACAGATAGGGACTTCAGGAAGCTTGGGTACCTGTTCTGGGGGAGCCGAGAGGTCCCCTTGGCAAGTCCCTCTTCCACCTACCCCCCCCAACTATTTTCAGCTCAGGAGAGAGAACATTAGGATGAGAACACAAATATTCACATGTACAGGGGGCTTGGGTGACAGCACACAGAAGAACACACACACACATACACACGTAGCAGGTATACACGTGTTCTGCAACAGATGAAGCACTAAGGGAGCACTCCCTGCTCCCACAGCTGATACTCAACTTCACAGGTTGGGCAACTGAGGGGGAGGCCTGAACTAGACCCCAAGGCACCTGGAAAGAGAACAGCTGAGATAGGAAGCCGTGGCTACAGCCTGAAGGGGGCACCAGCAGGTGGCTGTCTCTGGCTGGCCTGGCTCTGAGTCCAACTGGTATGCAGAGACCCTAGAATCAGCTAGAGGGTTCTTTGTCTAAGAGCAGCAGACTAGGCTGGGCATGTAAGGGGGATGAAGCAAGCTACAGGGGCAAGAGATGCCACAGTTGACCAAGAGCCCATGTCTGGTTTCAGTACCTTATTGTTTAGAGCTGTGGGGCAAAGACAGGTCTTACCCTGCCCAAACCTGACTATGTAGCAACAAGAAAATATAGGTGATGACCTTGGCCAGCCACAGGGACATAGGGACGCAGGGACGCCGAAAGATCAAAGGGCCGATCCCTGCCTGGCTATGGCCTCACCAGCCTGTCCGGCGGCGCCTCTGAAGTCCTGGGCAGAGCAGCCTGGGCACCTGTCCTGCACCTGTTGTTGGGTCACTCGGAGTCCCCCTGCCTGGCCACCCAGTCATAGTGACAACAGGAAAGTAAACACTCCCCCACCCACAAGGCTGGGAAGTGGCCAGAGAGGAAGTGGGGCTGCCAGTGGAGCCCCCCCAGGCTGGGACAGCCCGCCAGGGGTTATTTATACCCTGGCTGGGGGCATGGCCTTGGTTGTGCCCTTACCCATCCAGCTAGGCTGGGAGCCCTTTAGGGGCAATAGATGGGGCAGACCGTTTAAGTGAGCACATTCTAATGCACCACTTAGGTTGGGGGGGGAAAGAGTCAAGAGATTTAGCCCCTAGGTAGGCACCCAAGCAGCCATAACCTCAACCTTATACTCACACAACCTATGCAGACTTGGCCCCATAATCTAGATCCCGCCCCCTTATCTGTGCCATGACTGCCAGGGCCCAAGCTCCAAGTCCAAACCACTAATCTGCTCTGAAAGCCACAGTACCCCAGGTCCCAGCTCCCTGTGAGAAGACAGAGAGACATCACTGGGCAGATGAAGAGACTAAGTCCTAGATGGAGAACAGAACACGACACACTGCCTCTGAACCCCCTTCCCTAGTCTGTCCCTGGGTGAACAGTGCCTACCAGTCAGGAACCTACCATGCTCAGAGCCTTGTGCTTATATCCAGTTTACAGGTGAGGAAGGACATCAGGGGACAGGGAGGGGAAGTGTCAGCCAATGTGCATGAAGGCTGATGGTTGAAGAGGGGGAGGCCCAGGGAAATCAGTTCTGGTGGAGGCTGCCTGCCAGGGGGTGGAGGGCCAGGAGGTGACTTGCCCTCCATCATCAAGGCACATGACTCAGGACCCTAGGGATTCCTCTCAGGGTCCAGGGGATATGGTGTCAATGGCTCTGGAATCACAGGACACTCTGGTGTCACAGGATGTGATGCTTTAGTAGCTGTGGAAATGGTGGGGAGGAGGGGAGTCTCCAGGAGTCCATGCAGGGTGGGAAGAGGTAGGACAGGTCAGGATTACGGCTGCTATGATTCCACTTCCACTATGGGTTTTATGACCCCCTGTTGGGGTACTCTGGCTCTCTGAGCCTCATATTCCAGCAGAGAACATTTCATAGGCCTCCTAGATCTGATAGTCAAGGTGGCCCTGACTGGGTCCTCCTCTGATGTCAGAAAGTCAGAGCCTGACACTCTTCTTGCCTTCCCTGCCTTGAGGGGTATAGAATGGGCTGGGGTTCTCAGTCCTTTCCATGAGGAAATAGGCTTCCTTCCCTATGTCACTATCACCTGAAGGACATCCACCTCCCACTCACTCCGTTACCCCATTTCCTAGTGCTGGCGGGGGGGGG